GATACATACATATAGACCGCATAATCATAACCAGTAAACCATAACCTTGTCCTAGACACCCCATTTGACCCCCTTTATACAAGATTTGCATGCCACTACAGGACCTTGGTTGCAACAATGATCTATATGGTCCCAGATTATATCAATAACGTCACACTGCCCCAGTTCCCCGTGCGCCCAGCCAGCTCAGCCTTGGCCACAACAATCCCCCTGGAGCCCCACCTGGTGCAGTGTGGCAGGGCTGGTGAGCTCAGCCCTCTCTGCACATTCCATGTTATCCGTTTGGGGCGTGATCATTAGGTGTGTTCGTTGCCTGTCATGAGAGCCAAACTCTCTGTCTCGTACCATTCTCAGTTTTGTCCCCCCAAAGGGCTAGTGTGTGGCCTGCCCTGTCAGGGGGCCTGAGACACTGGGGTGACGGTCATGGCCTGGGTTTGAGCCTCAGTGCTGCACAAAGTTGGACAATCCAGCCACCTTAAGCCAGGCTGTTTTGTTCAGGGGTGGGGAATCCCTTCCTCAAATGACCCTAAGTTTGGGTCAGTCACCCCAGCTTCCCCATCTCCTCAGGGCTCACACCAAATTTCCTGGCAAGCCAAGTAACCATGTGGATTTTAGAGCACTTAGGAGAGTTGAGCTTTAAACGGGGAGCTGGTCTTAACCTTCACTGCAGCAGGGCTGGCAGCCACCATGCCGGCACAGAGGGCGATGAGCAGGTGACCCCAAAGGGACATTGTCTCATAACCTCCCAAACACACACTAGACCCCACTGCCCACCCAGGGCCGGGATAGAATCCAGGAGTCCTGACTCCCAACCCCCATCAGCAGTGGGCAGGACACAGACCCAGGAGAGACGACTCCAAGCCCCAAGACCAGGCTGGTGCTGGGAGCCAGTCCCTGCCCCCTCCTTGTCCCGTCCAGCCCTCACCCTTTCCCCAGGCCCTGGGGCTCAGGTGGTGCTGGGGGTCAGGCCCTAGCTCCCACTGGCTCTGCTGGGCACGGGCATTTTCAGCAGCCAGGCCTGCCCCTCCCCTGTCTGGGTCGCTGACCATACCCAAACTCTCTCCTAGAGCCTGTACCCCAGCTCCCCCACTCCCCAACCCCGGCTCCACCCACAGCCCACACCCCCAACCGGAGCCCTCACCTCCCCTGCATGCCAACCCCATGCCCCAGCCTGGAGCTCCCTCCTGCACCCTGAACCCCTCATCCCCGGCCCCACCCCAGAGCCCACAACCCCAGCCGGAGCCATCACCCCCCCTGCATCCCAACCTCCTGCCCTAGCCCTGCCCTGTGACCCTAGACCCTGCTCCTCTCCCAGAGTGGGGAGAGAACCCAGGAGTCCTGGCTCCCAGCCTCCCTGCTGTAACCCACTAGACCCCACTGCTCCCGCAGAGCCAGGAGAAAACCCAAGAGTCCTGGCTCCCAGCCCCCTCTGCTCCTCCCCCCTGCACCCTCCTGCACCCTGAACCCCTCATTTCTGGCCCCACCCAGAGACCTCACCCCCAGCCAGAGCCCTCATGCTCCCCCTGCACCCCAACCCCTGCCCCAGCCTGGTGAAAGTGAGTGAGGGTGGGGGAGAGTGAGCGATGGAGAGAGTGGGGATGGCGGGAGTGGGGGGTGGGGCCTTAGGGAAGGGCCAGGGCAGGGGGTTGGCAGAGTGTTCGGTTTTGTGCAATTAGAAAGTTGGCAATCCTACCTAGGGACCTGGGCAGGGAACCCGCAGAGGGACTGGCTGGGGCTGGGGGTTGGGTTATGGGGTATCCAGGGCACCCAATAAGGGGCAAAACCTGTAACAGGGCACCAGGACTGTGTGGTTAGAGAGACTGGGAGCCAGGAATCCTGGGTTCTAACTTGGCTCGGGGTGGGGAGTGGGGGCTAGTGGGTTAGAACAGGGGGGATGGGAGTCAGGACTCCTGGGTTCTCTCCGCAGCTTGGGGATACCTTTAGGCTGAGGATAACAGGGGCAGATGCACCAGGCAATGGGGCTGTGGGGTTCACAGTGTCTCAGGACCCTTCCCTGTGCCTGCTTCCCCCCAACTCACTGCCCCACCCACCATCTCTGGGGTCCTTGGTGGGAGGAGCTGCCCCACCCCAACCCCAGCTGCCTGGCCGGGCTTTATATAATGACACCCAAAGGGGAAGGAAACTCAGAGACTCTCAGCTCTGCTGGCAGTTGGATCCATCTCTGACCGGAGCCCCAGGAGTTGGGTGAGCTGAGAACAGACACAGCCAGGGGGGAAATTCAGAGGGAGGGGCACTGCAGGTTGACCCCAGGGGGCTGGGTGCAGAATCTGGCCCTGACCCCATTGCACTCAGGGGGTGACTCTGGATTGATCCCCAGGCAGCTGAGATCACAATCTTGGCGAGAGGGTAAAAGGAAGAGCATGTGAGATCTGGAGTCAGCCCTCCTGGGTTCTCTCCTGGCTCAGCGGGGGCAGTGGGGTCAAGTGGGTTACAGCAGGGAGGCTGGGAGCCAGGACTCCTGGGTTCTCTCACCACTCTGGGAGAGGAGCAGGGTCTAGGGTCGCAGAAGGGGGAGAGCTGGGAGTGCGGACGAAAGAATGCATTGTGGACAAACCGGTAAAGCAGAAAGTTAATGGCAGGCTGGGGCTGTGGCCAAAGCTCCCCACTGGGGTTTAGGGGACCTGGGTTTCATTCTCTGTGCCTTAGGATGGGATTTTCAAACCCCTACAGGGGTCTGGAGGCCAAACCCTCGTGTACACCCCTGGGACCCAAGCCACCAAATGGGAGCTGAAAAGCTGAACCTTAACCACTCTGTGCCTCGGTTTCCCCCTCTGTAACATGGAAAGAACAACCCTTTCTTGGTCTGCTTTGCCCATTTAGACTGTAAGAGTTTCTCTCTGGATATGTGCAGCACCTGGCACAATGGGGCCCTGATCTCGGTCGGGATCTGTGCAGCGCCTGGCACAACGGGGTCCTGATCTCAGTCGGGATCTGTGCAGTGCCTGGCACAACGGGGCCCTGATCTCGGTCGGGATCTGTGCAGTGCCTGGCACAACGGGGTCCTGACCTCGGTCAGGTTAATGAGGCTTTAGGGGTAGAATGGACTGGCAGGGGGAGGGGTTTGGGCCCAGGAGGTTCCATGGAGGAGGCAGATCCCCACCCAGTGCGGTCTCCATCCATCTCCCCCCTCGCCCCACTGCAGGTCGATCCAGTGACAGACACAGCCATGGCCCTGAGGGGACCCTGCCCCTTGCTCTTCCTGACCCTGGTCCTGCTGGCTGTCTGCCTGGCTCAGCTCAGCGAAGGCGCCAGCTACCAGCAGTTTGTGACCCGACACTTTGACAGCCCCAAGACCAGTGCTGCCAACGACCGGCTCTACTGCAACCTCCTGATGCAACGCCGTGGCCTGACCCGTGTCTTCTGCAAACGCCGCAACACCTTCATCCACGCCCCTGCTGGCAAGCTCCAGGCCATCTGTGCCCGTGGAGGAACACACGTTAGCCTCAACCTCTACGACAGCCTGGAGTCCTTCAACGTCACCACGTGCCGGGCGCTGCCCCGCTCCCGCCCGAGGCACTGTAGATACAGGGCTGCAACTGGCAACACCAAGATCCGTGTGGCCTGTGTCCAGGGGCTGCCTGTGCACTTAGAGCCGACGTACCTGCCATGAGCAGGGGATCCCCCTTCTGCCCCCCACCCCCGCTTTGATCCTGGGCAGCCCTCTGTTGCTGGGGGCTCCCTGTCCCCCTACCTGCGCGTCCTGGACAACGCCCGCCATGAGTCTCCACAGGGACTTTCAGTGCCTCCCCTTATCCCACGGGCCGGCAGTTGGGGCTGCGGTGGGATTTCCCATGCTGGGTGCCCAGTTCCTATTCACACGAGTGAAAATCCGGGTGCCCAGCCCCCCGGCTGGCACTGAGACCCTCAGCCTGAGCCCAGCGGCTGCCTCGCTGAGCAGGATCCAAACATAACTGGCCTGGACTTGGGCTGGGGCTGCCCCGGACATACCAGGAGCAAAAGAGGCCAAGCGGCTCTGAAACCTCAGAACCATTTCATTGGGGGGCCCACTTTTAGCCCCCTGAATCTGACCAAAATTCCCACAAACCCCTTGGATTTGTCTAAACCTGTATGACTGGATCTGGCCCCGTTACTGGGGGATGTGGAAACCAGCTGAGCCTCGCATGGCCAGACATCACAGGGCTAAGATGGGAGGAGGGCTGCTGGGCCGGGTAGAAATGAGGGGCTCTGAGGGCACCATGGGCGAGGTTAACTCCTGTTCCTGTCATCCCTCCCGTCCCCCAGAGCTCCCCAGGCAGTGAAATTTGCTAGGCCGGAGCTAGGGTAGAACCAGGAGGCACTCGGGGTCTCGGTCTGGCTCTGACGTCTCCCATGTGGATATAAGGTGAGGCTGTGACCGGAGCTGAAGGGGGAAGCAGAAGGGGGGTTGCAGTGGGGTGGAGCGATGCTGTTGGGGAGTTTGATTCTCTGGCTGCCACCCTTAATACAATGCTGCCAACGCAGAACGGCCGGGCACATGTTTGTGGGGCACTTGGCGTGGGGGTGAACAGCTGCCCCAATGGCCTTCAGAGAGCACAGCTGAATTGTCGTGGGATTATCTAGGGGGCCCAACCTCTGATCTGGCCACAGGCCAGGGGCCTGGCTGGCAGGGAATGGGACGCAGGGTCTTTCCCCTATAGGGGGCGCTGGCTCCAATCCAGCCCCAGATCAGGGGACACCGGCTGGCTCAGGGGGGCGGAGAATGGCGCATGGGGCCTTTCCCCTCTAGGGAGGACTGGCTCCAATCTGGCCCCAGGTGACTGGCTCAGGGGGGCAGGGAATGGTGCACAGGGCCTTTCCCCTTCAGGGGACACCAGCTACAATCCAGCCCCACAGCGGGGGATTGGCTTGAGATCACCCTTTGAAGGCTGGGGAGCTGCTTCTCCCCCCCTCAACAGCTCAGCCCATATTTCCCTCTCCCAGGGGGGAGGCCGGCTACAGAGGGAGCCTCTGGAAGCGTGATCTGCAATGTCACATGCTCTGTATCTGCAAAGCGCGGTGCCCCGCAGTTGCCAAGGGCAAGGGCATGGCCCTGATGGCGCCAGTTCTGGGTGGGGGGCAACATGGACTAGACAAATTCACTGAAGGGCGACACAAGGCTCCTAGGAGAGCTGAATTGCCAACCCCTGGTTTAGCAGCCCTGGGCATTAACCCCAGAGCTACAGAGCCAGGGCTCCTAGGTCATTCACCCGCTCCTGCCGGGCGCTGCCCCGCTGTGCGCACTCGACTCTGGGCCGCAGGCAGAGGAAACCCTTGGAGATTTCATGGATTTAATTGAAGATACGAAGTTGCTGAGACACCAGACTCAAACTCCGCCCCCCCCCCCCCCGGACGTCCCCTCACCCACCCCCCCAAGCCCTTCTCCTGTGGTTCTCTGCCACATTCCCCCCATTTCAACACCCTCCTGCTCCTGCAAGTCCCCTTCTGCACCCACTGCACCCCCCATGACTTCCCATGCTGGGTACCACCACACCCTAAAGCAATTCTGCATTGCGGATGCACATGCGGCTGGTACCCCCAGTCCGACGAGCCAGGCAGAAGCGAACCCGCCCGCAATAGCCAAGTCACAGCGAAGTGGGAGACAAAGGACGAGGAATCATACGAGGCACCGGGGGGAATCGTGCCCACCCCTGGGAACTGGCATGAGCCACAGAGGGACATGCCGCCCGGTTAGTGTGAACGAGATGGCAAGTGGACCTGGTCAGTAGCGCCAGCAGTGAACGTGAGCGGGAAGCGCCCCCTACTGAGCCCACCGCCCCCTCCCTGCAGCGCAGTGCCCCCTAGTGCATTGGGGATAGCACTGGCTGTCAGGGGAGAGTGCCCCCTACTGAGGCCCCGCCCCACTTCCTGCAGCACAGCGCCCCCTAGTCCCATGCTGGAGTATTGGGGCCAGCACTGACTGCCAGGGGAGAGCACCCCCTAATGATTCCCCCCTCCCCACTCCCTGCAGCACAGGTCCCTAAAACTGCACTGGGGCCAGCACTGGCTGTCAGGGGAGAGTGCCCCCTACTGAGCCCCCTGCCCCAATCCCTACAGCACAGCGCCCCCTAATGCCATGCTGGAGTACTGGGATCAGCACTGACTGCCAGGGAGAGTGCTCCCTACTGATCAGTGCCCCCAAATACAGCATGTATCCCTACCAGTGCTCATGCGGTGCCAGGACACTTGGGACCGCCGGCCTGGCCCTTTTTTCGGAAGCTGTCCCACCATCCTGGTACTGCCCCGATCCCTCCCTTGGGGCCCCGTACCCGTCTCGGACATACTCCTGAGCAGCACCTCACTGTGCCAATACAGCCTCATGGCAGTGGAGCGAACCCCTGCTCTTCTCTCTCGCACTGATTCCCCCCTTCGCCAATCCTTTGCCCGCGACTAGCTCGGGGACTCAGGGGAACATGTAGCCCTGTTATAAGCAACCAGACAAAGCCCCAGTTGGGCACAGCTCTGCCATGTGGCCAGCGAGGGCTCAGCTGCTGGAGACCCGTTGTCCCCCTCCATTCTCTCGGTACAGCTGTTCTGTTCCGCTGGGCCGGCCCCAGCCCAGATCCCTTCACCTCCCACATGGGACCCACGCCCCCACACCGACCAGCCCCGCCAGACCCAGAGACCTGCTATGCCCCCACCATTGATTGCCCCACTGGCGGCTGGACTGTGTTTCTTGGAGACATGCAAAGCCCGTTTCCCAGGATTCTCTGCAGAAAGAGGGTCCCAGCTCTGGGAAGTTTGGAATTAATTATCTCCGCTTTCTCAGGACACTGATTTCCCCGTGGAGCCTCACTTGGCCGGGGGACAAGCCCATGTTGCCAGAGGCCTCGCAAATAGCAACGTTTCCAAACATTTCTTCCCTGCAAGCTTTTCCCAGGGGTTCAGAGCAGGCTGACGATCTCTCCTCTGCTGGGTTGGTTTTTACGACAGGCCAGGTGTGGGCTGGGTTGGTGTCGGGATGGGATGCCCAAATATTGGACGATATGGTGCGAGTGACTCAGTAGGGGGCGCTCTCCCCATACAATCGGCGCTGACCCCAGGGAGGTGTCAGGGGGTGCTGTGCTGCATTTTTGGTATGCCTTCATCTCTGCTTGCAGCCATTCAAGCTGAGTGTCTCCTAGACACGGGATTTGGCCAGTGGAGAAACTGAGGAACTGCGATTCAGGCTATTTCCAAAGCTGCTACAGGGATTCGGAGCCCCAATTCCCATGAAAATGAATGAGATCTGGGTTCCCAAATCCACTAGGCAAAGTTCAACCTAAATCTTGTACACCAAAAGATGAACCCTGGTGTCCTGGCTAGCTCCCAGCTCAGGGCAGTACATTACCCCTCCCCAAATTCCTGCCATGTTGCCAAGAGGATCCCTTCACCTCCAGCCCTGACCTGGGCAGCTATTGCCCATTTTCCGGGCTCCACCCCAGAGGTGGCTGCAGTAGGAGACGCTCATGCGGCACCAAAGCCAGATTCCAGCGTAACAGAGAGAAGAATTTGACCCTCATTAGCAGCGTTGTTTATTCAGCTTCCCCCTGGACTGGTGCCTCAGTGTTTCCCAGGGTCACGGATTGTGCAACGCTGGCCAGTAGGATACTTCTCTGAGTGCAGCCGCCCCTGCTGTGTCTTTCTCTCCAGCCGAGCTCGGTATATAACACCCGCCCAGAAAGTACGGCACCTCAGACACTTTGCAGGCAGCTGGATCCATACTCCGAGGGAAACCGAGGCACCAGGACGGAGGTGAGTTGAAGATCGGGGCCTGAGATGACCGGTGTATTTAGGCAAGAAGGCTCAGGGAGCAGCGTATTGTAGATGATCTGTAGGGAATGCACTAAATATAGTAACACAGAGCAGGTCTAAAGAGTGAAACACGGATCCAAAAGGCCCGTCACGTAATATTCACTGTGTGGAGAAGAAACAGCTGCATGAGTTGAAGTTTAAAACCGGTGGGGGCAGATCCCCAGCCGGGTCAATAGGTTTAGCTCCATTTTACACCTGAGGAAACTAGGGGTGAAAGAGAGCAGTCGCCCTACATCCAGGGCTCTGACTCCCTGCCTTGCCCTACAATCTGACTAGATCTCACTCCCTTCCCTGAGCTAAGGAGAAAACCCAGGAGTCCTGGCTCCCGGCTCCCCTTGCTCTAACCTGTAGACCCCTCCTCCCTCCCCTCCCCAAGTCAGGCATACAACCCATGAATCCCCCCCAATCTAACCCACCAGCCCCCACTCTCCTCACAGAGCTGAGGAGAGAACCCAGGAGTCCTGGCTCTCAGCCCACCCTGCTCTCACCCACTAGATCTCCACCTCTGCCCGTGCTTTCCCCCCAGATAGCCATGGCCCTGAAGGGACCCCGCCCAGCGTTGCTGCTGCTGCTGCTGGTGGTTTTGCTGCCTGCCTGTCTGGCTCTGGGCCGGAGGGAGACGCGCCACGAGAAATTCCACCGGCAGCACGTGGACTTCCCGAAGACCAGCGCCCCAGATGCCCGGCGCTACTGCAACCTCCTGATGCCGCGGAGAAACCTGACAGCTGATGCCTGCAAACCCACCAACACCTTCATCCACGTGGGGCCTGCGGAGGTGGACAGCGTCTGCCGCTCGGGGGGCACCCCCAGCACTGAGAATTACTACGACAGCAATGTGCCCTTTGAGCTCACCACCTGCCGGCTGGCAGGGGGCGCTCAGAGACCCCCCTGTAACTACCGCGGGAGAACCAGCACCCAGCGGATCCGGGTGGCATGCGTGGGAGGGCTGCCTGTGCACTATAAAACACAGATCTAGGGGCAAGGAGGCTAGCAGGGTGAGGGGCAGTGAGGTTGGCGATTTCATCCGAGTTTAAAGAAATTAGGAGCCAACGGGATCTGGTCCCTCACTGGCATAATTGGGAGTTCAGCAGCCTAAATCCCTTAGATCCCTACCCCACCCCCCACCCTCTGCTGCCCCACTGCCCACTCTCAGTATAGCCGCCTCTTCCCCACCCTCACCCTCTGCTGCCCCTAGTGTCCATTATACAGTATAGCCTCCCCTTCCCCACCCCTGCCCTCTGCTGCCCTTAGTGCCCATTATACAGTATAGCCGCTCCTTCCCCACCACCACCCTCTGCTGCCCCTAGTGCCCATTATACAGTACAGCCGCCCCTTCCCATCCTTTACGTGCTGCTGGTACAGTGGATCAAGGACAGGCCTGGCACTCAGGCTACCTGAGTCCTATTTTTTATTCTTCCTCTGACCCACTTCTGTGACCCTGCACAAATCACTTGAAGTTTCCATGCCTCAATTTCCCCATACGTTGTCCATCAAGTCTCTTTAGCATGGAAGCTCCTTGTGGCACGGATTGGCTCTCATCTTGTGACTGTACAGTAACTAGAACACAAACACGGCTCCGTTTCAGTTGAGGTCTCTAAGTGGTACTATCAGTCAAATGGGCGCATCTTTTTTGTTCTGTCTTTGTTCAGCACCTGCTCCATGGTGAGTGACTGGGTCTCCTAGGCACTAACCCGGTACAATTAATAAATAATCAGAGAGATGTATCGAGCTGAATCCTGGAATCTCTTTTCCTGAGTTGCAGTCTCTTGCTGCTTCCTCCAATAAAGCGCTTTGCTAGAAAGGGTTGTGGTCTGTGTTTGTGGGGAGCTGTGTGTGCCCTGGGGAAAGTCAGGAAGTGTAACAAGAGCACACAGTGTGAAATGCCTTGGGGAAATTCTGCGGTGAGATTTCAACCCACAACCCTTTGTTTAGCAATCTAGTCTCCAAGCTACAGGGCCAGCTGTTTGCTATCATCTCCTGGTGTGTGGGGAAATATTGTCTGTGCCAAGACCAGCAGGAATCAGCAGAGAGCAAGCCCTTGGGGGACGCATTTACCCAGGGAGCTGGGACTCCCGGCTCAGCTCTCTCCCACTGTCCTGGACATACTCCCACACCCTGCTGCACCCAGATCCTTCCACCTGGGATAAAAAACTGGACTGTGAGCCAAGGAGGTTGAGCCAGTGGAGAACTCTGCCAGTGTCTGGGCTGGTGTTGCTATTGAGGGGGAGGGGCTGAGGAGCGGGAATTCAAAGAGACTTTGCAGCAGCTGGGAGTGTGGATTTCGGTTCCACTCTCTTCAGGGATGGGGGTCCAAGTGCCAAACTTTGGGTGTTTCCCTACAGACCCGTGAATCCCCAGGGGTTCCATGGGCAGCTCTGAGATGGTGATGCAGGGGAAAAGGGGGTGTATTTAATCATTGGAACAATTCACCAAGGGACGTGGTGGATTCTCCATCACTGACAATTATTAAATCAAGCCTGGACGTTTTATGTATAAGATCTGCTCTATGAATTATTTGGGGAAGTTCTCTGGCCTATGTTCTACAAGAGGTCAGACTGTGTAGGCACACCCTGTCCCCCTGTGGGGTGTATCGTGGGTGTGGTGACACCGTGGTAACAGTCTACCAGATTATCCTGGGCCTCACAACAGTGCGACCCAGTGGCCAGAGACAATACAGTGGCCCTTGAATGCAGGGCAGCGTGGCCTAGTGGCTGGAGTCAATACAGCGGCCCTCGAGTGCAGGGCAGCATGTCCTAGTGGCTGGAGTCAATACAGCGGCCCTTGTGGGCAGGGTTGTGTGGCCTAGTGGCCAGATCCAGGGGGCTTCCATCAAAGTGGGTGTGGCAGTTGGGGTAGGGGGACCCAGGCCCCCCAGGCTCCACCAGGTCATGACCCAGGGCCCTAATAGTGGCAGAGTGGTCCACCACTGGGTCAATGGGGAATTCAACTGCAAGACGCTGACTTTCCATGGGTAGGAGATACTACTCACTCCACTTCCCTGGGCTACCTCCTGCTATGTTTCCTATAGCTGTAGTCTGTATGGCATCAGGGTCTCAGGGCTCCTCAGCGCAGGTTACTCCCTGGAATTCCGACACCCCACCACTCATCTGTAGGCAACAGGTCTCCGGTCTAGTTCTTAGGATCTCTGGCTCCCGCACATAAGGGCTGTAATGGCTCCTGGGCTGAAGCCTCTACCAAGCATCCTTCCTCCTTGGCAGTCTGCCCAGACTGAGCTGGGCTGCTCTCCTTTATACTAGCACAGCAGTTGGAGCATGACCAGCATGGTCAGAGGGGTGGGACTTCATCCACCCACAGTGTGGGATCAATCCTCCCCTGCCTAGTGCGGAGTATGCACACCCCGTCACAGACTAGATGATCAGAATGATCCCTTCTGGCATGGGAATCTATGAATCTATTAAACCTGCTAATGTATTAGCAACAGTACATCTCCAATTTGATGACTATATGACTTTTGTCTCTGTAGCAGGAAATTTTCAGAACTTCTTTCAAGTGAAAGTTGTAACTCTGTCTTGTATTCATTTTATCACCTGAGCTACCGTGCTATTTCTACCAGGGGCTGACAGGAGTTGAAACTCAATTTCCAGTGTATCTGAATACTCCTCTTTTCCATTTAGAAGTATTTCAGTCTTTTTTTTTAAGACATTTAAAACTTAAATGATGCTTGGACAAGCTGTAAATGTATATAGTTTTCTCAACAATCTTTGGAGAGGTCTCTCCTGGCTTTCTGAATGTGTTAAGGAAGTGGCTTGAGAGCTGCCCGATAACTTAATTAATTCCCTGTTTAACATAAATATTTATTTTTATACTCAAATCATTCCTCCTTGCGTAGCAAGGCCTGAGCTGGCTCCAATCACACCTGGCACTGCCAGGCTGGATGGAACGAACCCAGGTGTCTTGGGTTGATCAGAGGAGCCGGGAGTCCATTGTGACCACGACCATCTCCACACATGGACCTTGGAGAGGTTACAACTGGGTCAGGGCAGCGAGACCAAGCCAGGAAGAATGGGATTGTTTGACACCCAGCTGGTTCCTCCTGCTGCTCCCGTATGCCTTGGGATCCAGGCCACCAGGTAGCCAGAGGTGCTGCTCCTCCAAACCCACCTGGCTGGGGCTGTATAACAGAACCTGGAGTGGCTGCAGGCTCAGGGAAATCTCAGCTCCACAGGCGAATGGGTCCATTTCTCAGGCTCGGGCAAAGGCGCCAGGAGCTGGGAAGGTCAGAGAGTCTGTGACAAGGTCAGAACCGCAGGGGGGATGGGTCATGGGTCACTTGAGGGTTTAAACTAGTGCAAATTAAAAGGGGGGGGGGGATTCTCTTGAACCTGAAGTTTTTAAACCATGATTTGAGGACATCAGTAACTCAGTCAGAAGTTTGGGATCTATCACAGGGGTATGTGGGTGAGGTTTGTGGCCTGCAATGTGCAGGAGGTCACACTAGGTGATCATGATGGTCCCTTCTGGCCGTAAAGTCTATGAGAGGTAGGGGAGAAAAGACAGGAGAGGGCAGAGGTCTTCCTCTGAAGTAGATGGTACTGGCCACAGGTTGGGAGGAGATACTGAGCTAGCTGCAAAAAGAATAGGAGTACTTGTGGCACCTTAGAGACTAACAAATTTATTAGAGCATAAGCTTTCGTGGGCTACAGCCCACTTCTTTGGATGCATATATCATATATATTGAGCTAGCTGGACCCTCAAGCTGGTCTAATGTGGGAATCCCTCTTCTCTCATCCTCCACTGGCCACTAACCAAACAGAATCCACGTGGCAAAAAGAGAGAACTGCCTTAATCCATGGAGAAAGGCAATATCACACATCCAGGTTGCTGGGAGGGGTGTCTTCAGCTAGGCAGCTAGCTAGCTAGCTAGATAGATATGTATGGGGAAAGAAAGAAAGACCTCTGGAACCTAGTAAATGCAGCCCAGCCCTGTAACCTTAACTCTGCCCTCTTTGAGTGATGGTTGTGGGTGGAGCTGATGTGCTCCACTTAATTCTTTAATTTGTGGTTTCAGGAGCATTCGACGTTCTGCCAGAGGCTGAGGCAATTCCAGGTAACTTTAACGCTTTGCAAATGAGGTTTTGGAGTCTGGCATGAAGCAACTGCCTGCCTGGCAGCCTTAGCCTGCAATCAGCTCCCTGGGGGGTGGAGGGCCTGGAGGGGATGAGTGGGTGCAGGTCCCATGGTGCAAACAGGTCCCCTCCCCCTTGTCCATCCCTCCATTTCCACCCCACTGCAGGGCGAGCCAGCAGCAGAGGTATCATGGCCCAGAGGGGACCCCACCCAACACTGCTGCTAGTCTTGCTGGCCACGTGGTTGGCTCTGGCCGGGGGGGGGGCAGGAAGATGCGCTACAAGTTCCTGAGGCAGCACATCAATTACCCAAGGACTGCAGCCCCGGAGGCCAGGACCTACTGCAACCAGATAATGTAGTGCTGGGGCATGACCTTGCCCGTCTGCAAGTTCACCAACACCTTCGTCCATGCCAGCCCCACCAGCATCACCACCATCTGCGGCTCTGGAGGGAGGGACCCCGGCAAGTGAGAAACCTGCGAGACAGTAATGCCTCCTTCACCCTCACCACCTGCCGGCTGCAGGGGAGATCACAGAGACCATCCTGCAACTACAACGGGGGCATGTGAGGGTTCACACCCCTCCTTACAGGGCAGCATGGCCTAGTAGCCAGAGTCCATAGGATCAACCCTTGTCACAGGGCAGCACAGCCTAGTGGCCAGAGTCCATATAAGCACCCATGGTTGCAGGGCAGCGCGGCCTAATGGCCAAAGTCCATATAAGCGCCCCTGGTTGCAGGGCAGCACAGCCGAATGGCCAAAGTCCATATAAGCAGCTTCAAGAGCGTCGGCTGGTCCTCTGCATGAGCTTCCCAGTTAGGTCCTTCCCCTGCGACCGCCAGCCCCGACTGAGCTGAGTTCCCGCCTTTTATACTCAGTGAGCATCTTGAGCATGCCCAGTAGGATCGGGGCGGGACTTCCTCTGTCAGAGCTACTGGTCTGACGTCGCTGGGGCTAGTGCGGGGCGGGGCTGCCCCGTCACAGGGCACCAGCACCCAACGCATCCGCACCGCCTGTGTGTGGGGGCTCCCTGTGCACTACGACAGAGCAATATAGCCTGGGCCCATTGCACAGCACGGTCAGTCCCCCCAACCCCTGCTCTGCTGCTGCCCCCAGTGCAGAGAGGAGCAAGCAGTGGGTGTGGTCTCAGAGGAAGAAACTGAGCGGAAGCGGGGCCTTGGGGTGGAGCAGGAGGGTGGGGCCACGGTCCAGGCACTGGGGCCCCTTTTGAGTGTGGGCCCGCTGCCACAGACCCCTTGGCACCATTGTAAACCCGGTACTGCAAGCTGGGAGGGGTTGCAAGCACCCCCCTTAGCTCCTGCCGTCCCCCTTACAACTACAGCCGCCAGACTTTCTGTCAACATTACAGACAAATAAAAATTGCATTTTCTCAAGGCTAACTAAAGCCCACGTTGGTAGCTTGCACCCGGTATCATGCTGTTTTGCTTCAAGCCCCTGTGCGCTTCCACCTCTGTGCTCGTCCAAGCCCAGATGGGGCCTGAGAAGCCAGAAAATGGCAGACGCGTTCGGGAATAAGATTGCCCACATGGGGAGGCAGACCGGCAGAGATTCACAGTTCTGCAGGGTTTAAATCCAGGATTGCCCATTCGATCACCTTGCCTGACCTCCCGTATAGCACAGGCTGTTAAACGTTAGCCAGGTACCCCTGCATTGAAGCTAAAGACTTTAATGAGAGCAAAACATTACAGTTCTTGGGAGACTGAAGTGTTGTGAACCAGGCAGAGACCAAGGGGACCCCTCACGGCAGGGAATTGATTAACTGAGACATGCCCAGATGTCATCCCCCCAGGGGGGAAGATTCCTTCCCTAACCCAAAGCTGGCCATCGGTCGGACCCTGTGAATGTGACCAAGACCAACCAGCCAGCCAGGAGTCTCTAAACCACCCCAACCAACGTCCCTTCTCCAGCTGTGGCCGATCCCTGATGCTTCAGAAGAAGATGCCCCCCACAACACACACACACAAATCCCCAGAATACACCAAGCCTTCCTGACCCTTGCAAGCTGAAGCCCTGAAGCCTGAGATTGGATGATAGTCGCGCTCCTACAGCAGCGGTGTGAGTGTTATGAGGATGTTGCAGGCAATGCAGAGGTGCTGTTCTCCCCACGGCCATGACAGAAGGGGCTGAACAGAGAGATTGAGGTGCTTAGATTTAAAAGCCAGAAGGGACCCCACAACTACCCAGCCTGATCCCTGGCGAATTTCTCCCAGCAGCCAGATCTGTTCAAAAGACATCATCTCATGTGGTAAAGACTCCCCCAGCTGGTGTGTCCCCGGGGACGCTGTCCCAGCATTTAACTCCCCTCACTGCTAGGCAATGGTCTCTCTTTCAAGGTTGACTGCAGCTGGACTAACATTAGCCCCGATGTGAACGTTCCCTGTCTGGGGGAGGCTGGATGGCCCATCCTCAGGAGCTGGGTTTCAAGTGCCCAGTTGCCCCCATGCCTATCAGGTGCTCAGCCAACAGCCTAGCCCTCTCTGCCCCCATAAATGCCCAGGCCCCGTCACTTTCATGTTCCCCATCAAAGGCCCCTTTGAGCCAGCCAGGCCTTCCCTGCTCCATGTAATTCATCCAGTCTTGCTGCCCATAGCCCCTGAGCCTCTGGTCCCAGGCCAGGCAACATGGATCGAGCTGGCTCCAGTCCCACCTGGAGCTGCCAAGCTGCGCAGAGAGAACCCAAGTGTTCGGGGCAGGTCACAAGACCTTGGAGACCTTGCAGCCCGTTCCGGCTCCTGGGCCAGGACAATGAGACCAGTCAGTGAAGGCGAGGGATTGTTTAACACCCCTCCTGCCCCTCCTGATTGCTCCTTGCTGCCATGTAGACACAGGTGCTGCCCGGTCAGCTGCCCCCCCTCCACCCCACTCTGCCCTGCCCTGCTGGGGACCATATAATGGAGTTTGGAGAAGCAGTAGATTCAGGGGACTCTCCACGCCGTCGGTGGCTGGGTCCATCTCTCCAGCTGGAGGCAAAGGCACCGGGAGAGCAGAGTTGGTGAGAAGGTCAGAGCGACAGGGAGACGGGGATGGAGCCATGTGGGGTGGACTGGGGATGGGGATGGGGCCAAAGAGGAGCACAGGGGTGTGTGAGGGGTGATGGGAACTGGAGCAGCTTTGGTACCATGAATGGTGGAAGCAGGTTCCCAGCTCACATTGTCTCCACCTGCTCTCGCCTTGATTGATAGTAAGTTCTAAACTAGGAAATAGAGACATGTGTCTCCCGGTTTTATTACACAGGGAGAGGAAAATCAGGCAGACGAGGCACTATTAAAGAACCCTAGAGGGCAGGAACATAGGCAACCGAAGGACAGTGCCCAATCCAGCTAGAACACCGGGCGAGGGCAGAGAGAAACAGACGCAATATTTGTATGTGAAGGGGAGGGGCCTGGGGGGAAGCACTGGACCAAGTGGTGCAGGAGGTGAGACCGGATATTCTAGGGGTAACAGAACCACGGTGGAATAGCTGGAATGCTGGTATATAAGGGGATGTGAGGTCAGGAGAGAGGGAAATAAAGGTAAAGGGGTAGGTACCATTTTACACCGGTGATGTGGTAGACCAATAAGAAGCAATAGCAAAACAAAATCTGCTTGGGTCAAAATCACTTTGGAGAAGGATTGTAACAGAGGCTTTACTGGGGGGATGTTGGGGGCTGGTATAGACCCCAGGTTGGATTTGGATAAGGAGTGATAGATCTGTAATATTAATAGAGAGAGAAATACTACAGAGAACAGTGTCATTCTGGGAGACTTGAACTTGTGGGATATAGATCGCAGAACATTTGCTACTGATAATGGTTATTGATTAATATTCCTGGACAGGATCGATGACCAATTTCTTCATCAACTAGCCACGGAACCAAGCAGAGGAGATGCTGTGTTAGACTTGGTTTTGGTAAGTAACGAGGCTATCATAGAAGAGCTGGAAATAACCTTATGTCAAGTGAGCACAAGTTGGTTCCATTTAAATTAAGTGAAGGGATAATCATAAAAGATAGGCAGCTATGGGCTTCTATTGCAAAGGAGCAGACTTTGCTAGATGCAGGGAGCTAGTGAGTGAAGTCAGCTGGACTGAAGAGCTCAGGGACTTCATTGTGGAGGAGAGTTGGAATCTCAAAGGTGCAAAAAGTATCTGTAATTTGCATCCTAAGCAAGGGGAACAAACTTGTAGGGAAAAGCTCCAGCCCTAACTGGATGACTAGCCAGCTCAAAAAGGATATTGGGAGTAAGAAGAGAGTCAGCAAGGAATGGAAGAAGGGATTGATCGGTAAAGAAAACTCCTCTTGGAGTTCAGAAAGTGCAGGGATAGAGAGAATTGCCAAAAGACCAGATGAGTTACGCTCCCAATGAAAACAGCTAGTAGCCGGTTCTTGAGCCACGTCCATAAAAAGAGAATGAGAAGAGAAGACGTGGGACTGCTTTGCAGGGAGGGCAGATGAAGATGAGGATGTCAAGGTTAGGAACAATCCAGGGATGGCCCCAAACCAAAGGAATACTTTGCCTCAGTTTTCAGTAAGCATGATGATGGGGATGCAGCCAGGATGGCTGATGGGAATGAGTGTATGAGTGTATCTCCTGAGGAAGCAAAACCCATAGCGTTTAAGACACTCAGGTTGCGGGGACTGGGTTATCTCCATCCCAGAACACTGGCACATCAGATTGCAAGTCCAGTAGCAAGGATTTTTAATAAATTTACCCAGGGCCGGCTTTAGGCTGATTCCCCTGATGATTCCCCGGAATCGAGCCCCACGGGTAATAGGCTCACCCAGCGGCGGTCCGCTCCAGCGGCATTTTGGCAGCGGGGGGGGGGGGCCCGCTCCGGGGTCTTCAGCGGCATTTCGGCGGTGGAGGGGTCCTTCAGTGCCGCAGAAGATGCGGAGCGGACCCCCCACCGCCAAAGACCTGGACCGCAGAATCGGGCCCCGCAGGTCCTAAAGCCGGCCCAGAATCTACCAAATCTGGGGTGATGCTGTATGACTGGAGATCAGTAAATGTGCCACCCATATTTAAGAAAGGGAGAAAAGTGATCCAGGCAGCTCCCAGCCCATTATTCTGACCTCAGGAGTATGGAAGGCTTTAGAACAAGTTTTGAAGGAAACAATCATTAAAGACACAGCAGTCAAAGGAAAAGGGGATGTAACACAACATGGGTTTACCAAATGTAGCTCGGGCCAGACTAACCTGATGTCTTTCTTTGAGAAGAAAACTGATTCACTAGATCAGGGGAAAAAGTGGCAGATCCAATCTGTCTGGACGTCAGTAAATTTGACATAGTGTCACCTGGGAAATTAATAACTAAACTAGCAAAGTTGGGGCTTGGTACAAAACTCTAGGGTGGGTAAGGAACAGGCTGCAGAGGAGATGACAAGGGCTGTGCTGAAAGGGGAATGATTAGGTTGGAGGAGCTCCTCAAGGATTGGCCTTGGGACCAATCTTAGTGAATATTTTCATTGGTACAAAAAGCAGGGGTGTGCTACTGAAATTGGCTGATGACACAAAGTCACTGAAGAGGAGACTGGAATATCCTACGGGAAGACCTGGATGACCTGGAGGAATGGAGTGACAGATAGGGGATGAAGTTCAATGGTACAGAGTGCACGGTCATGCACGTAGGGACTAACAAGAATTTCTGCCATAAGCTGGGGGCTCATCAGTTGGAAACGAGAGAGGAGGAGAAAGACCCGGGTGCAGGGGTTGATCACAACAGGACTATGAGCCACCAGTGTGATGCAGCTGCGAGCAAGGCAAAAGTGATCCCAGGACATATCTGGCGAGGCATTTCTAGAAGAGGTAGGGAAGTATTAATGCCATTGTACACGACACTGGTGAGACCTCCTCTGGAATCCCGCGAGCAATTCTGGTCACCCTTGTTCAAGAGAGATGACTTCAGACTGGAGCAGGCGCAGGGCTGCTAGGATGCTCAGGGGAACAGAGGGTCGATCTTCTGAGAGTGCTGGCACAAGAGCAAATGGGTAGAAACTGGCATTGAAGTCCCATTGGGCTGGAAATGAGACAGGTTCTAAGCAGCAGAGGAGGGAGGTATGGGAACAGCAAGGGGGGCAAATGACCTAACCAGTTTGGAGATGGCGCTTGATACCCTTACGACGAGGATTGGTACAGTGGGTGGCCTGTGATAGAGACCCCGGCTGTCCCTTCCAGTCCCACCTTCCTATGTCCCTCTCCTTCCCACTGCAGGTAGACGCCGGGCCAGGGGCAGTGATGGCTCCGAAGGGACCACACCCCATGCTGCTGCTGGCCCTGGTGCTGCTGGCTGGCTGGCTGGCCCAGCTCGGCCAAGGAGCCAGCTACCCACAGTTCCTGAGGCAGCACGTCGACAACCCCAAGACCAGGGCCCGGAATGACCGGTCCTACTGCAACATGATGATGCAGCGCCGAGGCATGGCCAGCCCCTGCAAACACACCAACACCTTCGTCCATGCCCCCGCCAGCCAGCTCCAAGACGTCTGTGGCCGGGCAGGCCGGCGGGCCGGCCGCAACCTGCACGACAGCAACAACCGCTACCGCATCACCACCTGCCGGCTGGCTGGGGGGTCGACCCGCCCGCCCTGCAACTACCGGGGGCACAGCAGCACCCGCCGGATCCGCGTGGCGTGCGTCGGGGGCCTGCCTGTGCACTATGACAGGACCCTCTAGAGCCGGGCAGCCAGCCCCGGGGTGGGAGCCAGGGCGTCCTGCTGCTTTCGCTCTCCACGGACACTTCCATGGCTGGGGGCTCCCCAGCTCCGTCCCTGCCCCCTCCTGGACCCACCCCCCGCGCAAGGCACCTGACATGAGATCCAGGAACTGGGGGGGCTCAAGCAAGGCATCCGAGTCCATGGTGAGGACCCAGACATCAGACTGACCTACCATGCCAAGTGCTCAGCTAATGCAGCTTCCACTGAGTCCGCAGTGTGGAAAAAAACAGCCTCCTGGATGTCTAGTGCCCCACGATTTATTGTAATCCCCATTGATCCTTCTGCAGCTGCTTAGAGTAGTCACCCCACCCCCACCCTCTGCTGCCCCTAGTGCCCATTATACAGTATAGCCGCCACTTCCCCACCCCCACCCTCTGCTGCCCCCTAGTGCCCATTATACAGTACAGCTGCTCCTTCCCCGACCCCTCCCTCTGCTGCCCCTAGTATCCATTATACAGTATAGCTGCCACTTCCTTACCCCAACCCTCTGCTGCCTCTAGTGCCCATTATACAGTACAGCCCCCCTGTCCCATCCATTACCCATGCAGTGGTGGGGTTGATGTTGGGAGAAGTGTGTCTCAGGGTAAGCCCTGGGTGCTGTTACTGGGCTGGATTCTCTTGCTGTTTCTTGCAATAAATCACTTGCTGCCCATGAAGCCCAGCCAGGTGTGTTTGGGGAGGTGGTGGGCAGAAGAATTAGCTGGCTCTCTCCCCACTGTTAAAAATCACAAGGTTCTAGTGAGCTTCCAGCTTTCAATGGTATGTCAGGCCAGTGGGTCAGCCGCTGAGCTAGCCAATCACCTCCTCCGAGTGCTCCATCAGGGACCAGTTCACTGCCAATCCTATGGAGCAGGGGCTACTTCCCAGCCTGCCTCGCTGCCAGCATCATTGCTCCTGGGGTGACTGGGGCAACCCCTTGTTTTTCAAATAGATTGGGGAGCCTAGAGCTGAGATCCAGACTCCCTCAGCCCCATCCCCACACAGTCCAGGGGACTCTCAGTCTCCCCAGTTCTTTGTCTCTGTCCTCTGCTGTGCCCCAAATCCCCCCCACCATCTCAGTGCCTGCTAGCTCCCTTCTCCTGCTTTCCCCTATAGCCCAGCCCCCTGCAATCACCAGCCAGCCCCCTTCCAATCCCTGCAGCCTCCTAAGCCCCCTATTACAGCCTGTTGACCCAGAGTATTGCTTAAGATTCTTCCTTTCAAGCAGTTACTTTTACCATTTCAAAGCTAGTCACATTAATAGAATAACAATCCCCAGCTCTTCTCTAGCAATTCACCTCAGTGGATCACAAAAAGCTTTATAAAGGAAGCATCATCATAACTATTTTACAGAGGGGGAAACTGAGGCAGAGACAGGGGACGCGACTGATCCTAGATCACCCAGCCAGGAACAGAACCCCGGGGCCCTAACTCTTCAGTGCTCTTCCAATAGTTTATACCTTCGATATTTGTTCTCCTTCCCCTGCCATCAGAGCCGGCTCCAGGCACCAGGCAACCAAGCACATGC